ATCACGCCTCACTCAAGGACAAAGAGCATTGGAAAGGAACCTTCTCCAGTTTCTTTAATCCTCAGCTTTCATCGTCCTAAACGGCAGCGACAAATTGTCAGTTCACTTTGGGAACAACGGTTGCTAATGGAGGGGGGGGAGGGCTCAAGTAAGAAATGTACACAAACCGTTCCCCTCATTTACCTGTCATCATTCCATTCCTGTCTGCTCTTGAGCCGTTCTTCACAAAGACATGAGGTACATCTGATACATCGCTCACACAAGCGCTCGAGAACGCTGGGGCACACAGATGCTTCTGAAGTGTTAAGAAAAACACCTCCAGATCTGACAGAAGGACTCAAGTTTCATTATGGGAAAGTTGAAAGCCAAGGTCTTACACACTTGAGTTAGAAGAGCGAGACACTAGTCTGTAATGTCCTACTTCCTTTTCACAAGTAGCAGGACAACAAGTGATGGTTGTTTGTCTTCAGTGATTCACAGTGACGAAATGATCGGAAGTAATTTGTTTTTAATGTGGTTGCAATTTCTGCTGACTTGATGTGGCCGTGTCTAGTGAATCGACAAAGAAAGGTTTAACTTTATGCAAATTAACAACTTTATGTAAACAGTACAATGGCCTGATGACCTAAATTCACTGCGCTTGAAGCTCAAGAGTTACATTTCTAAGGTTCTGCAGAAGCCACTTAGTATTCAGTCGTTCAAGGTTCATTACCAATAATGATTTTCCTCCATTACAAACACTGCTAAATTATTTAGAAAGAAGAAAAGAGAATGAAACTCACTGCAAACATGTAGCCCTCCTGTAGATACAACATAAGTCAACGCGAGGTGAGACGTCGTAAAATCACATAGCTCACAGAGCATTGTTTGAGCTTCGTTTGGAGAACATGAAAACACAATGGGCGCATTCTTGTCTTTCTCCGGCACACTGATTCACAGCAGATGTGATTCTTTAAAGTGCTATAAACATCTTAGTATATGTTACTCATAATAGCAGCAAGTTTTATGAGCAGCTGTAAATGGCGGTTTCTGTCATATCTCAAGATAAAAAAAATTGGGTGGTAGAGAAAAATAAAATTTGAAGGATTTAGCAGAAATAAAGACCAACACTGATTAAAAATTTATTCAAGCGAAGCATATTTGCATTCTTCTTGCTTCATAAAAATTCATGAAGGCAGCAAATGAACAAAGGCATGGACTGTTGTTTAGCACCTAGTATACTAAATAATAAACTTCATACCAACAGCTTTAATCATTCTGTAACTCTCTTTGTGCCCAATCTCTGGACTTCCTGAAACCTAGCCAAATCCAGCGGGAGTACACAGGTCTGTAGAATGCTGCTTTATCAAGCTTATCTACAATTTCCCTGTGTGTGTTTGTGTCAGTGAACCTTTAATGTCATTAAGCATTGCTTCCTCTCTGAGGAGCGAAACTAACAAAAACCACTGGCGAGCTTCCTTTGATAACAAAGAATAAACACCAACCGTCACAAAAGATTGTGTGTCTGTATACATGTATAAAAATTCATTTTAAATTCAATTAATTTTGAATATTAAATGTGTAATATAACATTACAATACTTTTAAATCTATATCAAATACAACATATGCTTTCAAACTGTGAATAGTCTTTATACATATGTCCTTATTATTGAAATGTATACTTTTAAATAGTATTTAAAATAATGTATGCAATGTTATAATAAAAATATATAAAATATGTAAAGAATACATATATAACATATACTTTAAACTGCATAAATAAGCAACTTCCAATTAACTGAAAAAATGTGAACAGATGAATAGATAACCAAAATAGTTGTTTGCTGCAGCCCTATTGGAAACTTTTTGAAAACGAGTGCATTTCAAACAAAAGAGAAAGTCCTCCAGAGACTTTCAATTGCACAGCTAAATTCCTACTGTGAAGACGGGGAGGCTTCTATATTTGAAAGAGTGAGAAGATTGTTATTTGGCTAATTACAGATTTAGGGCTGAAACAGTAAACCGTTGGAGAGGAAGAGAGCGAGGTGCTTGAGTGAGCTACATTAGAGCGCTGGAGAGGCGAGACTGTGGATTCATTGTGTGCTGATGGCATCTTTTATCTCTTGCAATACTGATAGGCCTAATGGAGTAGTTTGGGCTGTGGGGGGGAGTTAAAGGGGTGGGCTATCTAATCTAATCAGATGGCATTGTTTTGAAGCTCATTTACCACTGGGGGGTCCAGAGGTTTCCACACAGTCGACAAGTCAACCCAAACCCAACCCCCTCCATCCCTGTGGCCAACACAAGAAGGTCCTTAGAAAAACAAGCGACAGACACAAAGGGGTAAATGGAGAAGACAATCCAGAGGGCTATTTGTGAGGATTTGCTCATTCTTCACAAATACACAAGAGTGCTGACCGCTGACTCAGACCTTTGGTTTCAGGCGTTCATTTTAGTTTTTACATTCATTTAAAAATGTACTAAACAAATATAAGCTATAATGTTTTTATGTAAAATATTTTTGTTTTTCATATATTATTTTCAGAGCAAACCTGTACTCACGTAATTAACGTTATGCATTTAACGAACACTTACAAGCGTGCATTGAATTCAATTCAAATAGTCATCAACAGCCATTAGTTCGGCCCGTGAGACTTGCACTTGGACCATAGTGTGGCCCAGTGGAAAAAAGATTGAGAACCACTGGTCTATAGTAATGATAATTAGCTTGTCTAAAAACAAATTAAGTCTATGGTATGTCCACAGTCTAGCTAGGTAAATATGAGTATGTGTGTGTGTGTGTATATGTGTAAGTGGACCCGCTGGAGACACTAGAAAAATACTCCACAAATCTCCTGGAGCTGGACAGCACAGCGCTGAGCTCAGGATTGTTTGTTTGAGAGTGGGCCAGGGGGATGAAATATACACTCGAGGTGTAAAGATCAGAATGACAAACCCTTCAACAAGTCTTTGAAAAGTGCGACTTTAGGTATGGCTTTGATTTTGACACACTTGCGCTGTAAATTCCATTCAAGTGAAAAGCACCATATAAAAAACACGCGTCAGAGAATGAAAGCCCAATTTAATGCGACTTATTTGCTTGTCACGCGAAGAATGTACCGTGAACATCCCTGAAAGAAGAGGTCAGACGTTCTTCAGGCATAAAGCCTGAACTAAAAAAGCTCTTGTTAGCACTTAACCGCATCAAGTGCTTTAATAAACTTAGCTATGCTCGTCTCTACCCCCTAACTACAACGAATGAGAGAAGGACAGCAGGAGGAGAAGGGCCTGAGCTCCTTCAAAGTCATGTCTGTTGTCAAAACACATTAAGATGGAGGAGATAAAATAAATGGCATCTTTTGGAAAAATGAGGAACGCTCATCCTCCCAAATAACAGATGACCCCAACCAAAGACTCCCCCAACTGTATTGAAATAGTGGTAATCGGACCCTCTTGGGGCCCTCCACTGGGGTCCTTTGTACATCTAAAAGTCAATCAAGGGCCGATGACAGACAAAGCCTAGTCAGATTTAGGAGAGAAAAATGCCAGAAGGGTCGATGCAGAGGCCGGAATCGTGATCCGTCCCGAGGCGGGGGGACAGACGCCCTCTGCCCACGTTGCCCTGCACTGACCTCTTGTCACATACAACTGTGCCCTGCTTCTCCACCTCTGACCTTAAAAACACGACACCTAGACCTGCTGTAAAAGCCCAGGGTGGATGGGACATTATTACTGCTTAATCCTCCAATGGATGCTTGTAAAGCTATACAACAAGACATGGTTTGGCAAAGGTGGTAAGTATGTAAAATATCATCAAACATGCAGGTAAAGCAAGCTGGAGGAATTTCATGCAGTAATTAAAAAATTATGATGATAATAATTATTTAAGCACTTAAAAATGGAGAAGTAGTATATCATCTAAGTTTTTTAAATGGAAAAAAGCAATCCATAAATGGGACTGTACATCCAAAAATTTAAATTGTCATCACTCAACAAAATGTGATTCCAAACCTGCATGCTTTTACAATTTTTTAAGAATTTACTGGCCACTCTTTTCAATATAATAACAGATGGGGGGGGGACCCTTGGAAAGTCCATGGAGAATGGACCACATAATTTACGTAGCTTTTTTGTTATTTTGTAGCTTGACAGACCCAGTCCTTATTTACTTACATTATTTGGAAAAGAGTGGCCTAGAAATTTCCCTTTTTTTGTTCCACAGAAGCATAAAGAGTAATAGAACGACATGAGGTTTAGCAAATAATTACTCATATTTTGGGGTAAACTATCTCCTTAACAAATAGTGTAGGAGAACTGTATCTCCTGGCAAAGAGTTTAGGCAGAACACAATAACCGCTCATCCATAGGGGTCTGCTGAGGTCAGGAACAGACTCCACTGTACAATGGTCTTCAAAAGCCCTTTGGAGACAATGACACACACACAGTCGCTACCGCTGGTTTATGAGGGAGCAAATTCGCCATTTGGAGCCACTTTAATACTTAATAAGCATAATGAGGCTGAACATAACGCCTGACTTCCGAGCTTAAAAATTCATAATGTGCTGTGAAACTTAGATGCCATTAACAGCTCTCTCTTACAGACACATACTCATATCACTAAAATAAAGAAAGCTCACTGTTCTGATTTAAATAAGCGCATACCAGTGCTGATAAACTGCTCTGCCTTTTCTCAGCATCTCTAGCATATAAATTCCATTACTTAATTTTTAGACACACACACATAATGCTCATAAATAATGCTTCTGGTGGCCTTCAACACAAACACATGAAGTGCCCACTCAAGCTGCCTATTCAAGGCTGCTCAATTCTCATCCTTCTTTCTCCTGCTCCCCCTAGCGTTCACAGTAAATATAGCATTATGGAAGTGGGAAAGAGAGAAAAAGAAAAAGAGAGAGAGGGCGAGAAAAGGGAGGAAGCCACAAGCTCCGCCCCCAGATGACATCAGTGCTGTGTTGAAGCAGAGCTGGAGGCAGATGCAACCTCACACTTGTAGTGAGCTCCAGGCAGCTGACCAGCTCTGCCGACTTCTCTATCTTGTCTCTTCTGAGCCAAAGGAGTGTGTGTGTGTGTATGTAAACAAGTGTGTGTGGAAATAAAAACACACCCTGTTATTCGCACCATTGCTGCTACTGAGCCTTTCTGACACTGGGCTCTTTTTGGGGATTGAAAACATCTTCCATCTTATTGGATTTATCCTACGGACTGACTTTATGATTTGAGGATATTCTTTTTGAATTATTGCTTGGGCAGGTAAGTGTATTTTGTTTTGAGTTTCCCCTTATTTTTGGGCTGTTTTTAACCCTTTCCCTTATGCATTTCAGCACTCTAAGGTGATCAAATACCTTCAAAACATGCATAGAGCAAATTTGCATATATCCCTTACATCTCAGACACTCAACAAAGCTTCACACAGTAGACTTTGATTCTAAAATTTCAGATCCATAGAAAATTATTTGCAATGGGAAAAGGCATTTTATAGCGAATGTAGGCAGACCCTTAGGGATTCGAGGGGGATGTAATAGCAATCTGAACTCACAAGTACAGTAGTCAAGAAATTTAGCAGTAGATCGCCCTTCGTTTGCCATTTAGCATTCAGCATGCATTTCCAAAATAATTTTAAAACAATAAGTTGCTTTAAAAAGAAAATAATGGGATAATTTAATAATCTTAATGCTGTTTCAAACCTCCGTGACTTTCTTTCCTGGAACACGAAATGATATGTAAGGAAGAAATGTTAAGGGCTTACAGCCTCAGTCTCCATTTACTTTCAATGCATCTTTTTTTCCATATAATGAATGTGAATGGTGACTGAGGCTATTAATCTGCCTAACATCTAATTTTACAACGGATTTTGTAAAGTCATATAGGTTTGGAACAACTTGGATATGAGAATACGACCGAATTTTAATTTGTATTTCGGGTGAACTATCCCTTTAAGTCTCCATGCCGCTGCGCGCGAATAAACGCACTAAGGACGCTCAACTTACATTTTATTATTACCATCAGCATTCTATATCAGTTAGCCTGATACCAAGTCCTTAAATATCCAGTCCTGGTTTAGAAAAAAACGCAATGCAGCTTGTATTTTCACCGCGTGTAATCAACAGGAACGCATAAACTTAACGCGCTGCGTCTTAAATCTGTTCTAGTTTGAGAGGCTTTAACGCAAACGAAGCGAGCAGACGTCGATTCTAAATGAGGAAATATCTATTAATAATGCCCAACCTGTGCTCTAGAAGCGTGATGGAAGAGTGATTGGAATAAAGAATGGGGGAATCGAGGATGCGACGCGTGACACTCCATGAACGTTGCGCGCGACGCGACAAAAACTAGAACTCTCCCATCGAAACCGCTCGCAGCGCAGACAGCTTCGTTGATTATGAGGGTCGCATTCTAATTTGGAATACTAAGGAACACTCAAAAGACTACGAGATTGGCGCGCAATAAATGTGCGCCCTGTGCTTTTCCGTGAGAGAAGTGAGTGTGTGGCGCAGTAAAGAGATCTGAGGCTGTCCGCTGCTTCAGGATTTCCCCATCAAACGAATTTCCCTTCTTTTAAGTAGCCTTCCAAATTATCTGAAAGATAAGCTTTCATATCTGTTAGGCAGAAAATGTCAAGATTGAAATAATAGTTTTGTGCAGATAAAGAGCGAGGGACTGTAATGCAATGATAAGAGATAAAGCCTTCAGTCAGAGCTGATTAAATCAGTTTATAAGACTACTATGAAAGAGGATTCACATTAGACAACTATGCAAGAGATTCAAGTGAACAAGACCTCTTTTTTGAATCCCTAATGTACTGAGTACAAGTTGTTTTCCCTAGCTTTTAGCTTCATATGTGCAAATGTACTAAAAGACTGTGTATTCGGATAGATTAGTTTCTTAGCATGATAATAGCTGAGAACCACAAATGGTCTGTTTTGACTCTGTAAGGAGGGTGATAAAATTAACTAACCCATTGTTCTTTGTTGGATGTGTCAAAGCACTCTGTGGCAGTCTTTTTCGCTTGCATAAACAATTTGTATCAGCAATTTACAAATACTACTCCTCTGTGCTTTAAAAAGACATAAATACCAGTCTCCCTTTAGATAGTAATACACAGGAATGCAAATTAATCAACATTCTATATTTTAATACAAATATCTAAGCATTCAGTTTATGTTTATTGGCAGCCAGGAGGACAGCACTCTTTGTTTCAAGCCACGAATGCCGGAGGCTAAACCCAGTGGTCCGTGGCATTCACTCAGAGTCAACATGAAATGGTCATGTCTTTCAGGCCTTCAGAAAAAAGTCTGTCACCCTTTTGTGCTGAGGACAAAAACAAATCGTTCTCATAGAATTCTCCACTCATGTCGGCAGCCAACCTCTGACCTCAGTGAGGCCGTTCTTCAAAACGTGCATTCGAAAAAACAAGCCTATAAGTTAATTTCCTGAAAATGATCTATTCTTATATTTTAAATATACTGTCTGAATTAACAAAAGAAGGGCAAACAGAAAAAAGGGCTGCAAATTTTTGCTTTATTACAGATGCAATTTACCCCCCTTTGGAGTGGAAACAGAAAAGTACAGTGCAGTAAATCAACCCAACCCTTTTTGCCCTTGTCCGGCAACTGCTGCCCCCTGTACCCTAGCAGGGGGTACATATGTGGTAATTAAAGCACCGGTTCAGCCTCCAAGTGTCTGTGTGTGTGTATCTGACAAGCACAGGCCCGATACAGAAGCACCTACCACCCCCAAGTGGGGAAAACAGTGCAGCTGCCACAGACCACTTTCTTTTCAGTGCAGCACAAAAGAAAAAGACCCCCTGTCTCCCCTAGAATCCACTCTCACTGCCTGAATGCCAACCAGGGACAAACCTGCGGATCATCTGCCCCAAAACCGAACCCAGAGGGAAGCCGCTAGCACAATAGCCTGCTCTTAAATTAACGTTAAAGCCGTGCCCAAACCCTTCTTCTCGTTTCCAAATATGTATGCAGAAATGTTTCATCTCTCGGCCCACTAGGCTCCGAGAGGCTTGATTTGGCTACATGGACATAAGATACATGACAAAGAGGCGCATTTAGTTCAAATCCTGCCTGGGGTTCAGAATCTATTATCTACTGAAAACAAGAAAGCTGTTTTTCATAATCATAGCCCAGGACCTACCAATGAAGAAGCAAATTTAATTTCATCCTAAATGTCTTCGTTCATGCATGGGCACTGATCAGATGTGACAGCATTTTTGGGAACTAATAGAAAACATCTCAGAACAGTGTAATGTTTGCCATCTTAAGCATTGCCCTAATTTCTCTAAAAATGCAGAAAAACTCAAATAAAAAGCATTGTCATTATAGAAAAGCAAAATATTTGTTTGTTTTTAATATTCCAATTTTCAAATATATTAAGATTCAAAAAACAAAAATATTTTCTCTGCACTTCAATGTTGCATAATCACAATAGAATATTATTTTTTCTCCCTTAAATGCCTTTTTAACCCATTTCTCAGACCAAACTCTAATGTTCTGAACTCAAGACACTAAACGAGCAAAAGGTAGTTGTGGCTGTGGCCATTTTAACCAGGATGCTCGATTGAACATCACTTTGAGCAGAGCAATGGAGCAGAAGCAGGCCCGGCCATTAGAACGATCTCCTAACGGGAAATACGGCCTATTAGAACGATAGTGAGAGGTGCCCGTCACATTCAGTGGCCTTTTCTCTCTTGGCTATGAGCAGTGGGTGGGGTAGGGGGCTTGAAGATTTAACAAAATGTGAAAAAGCTAATAATTCTAAGTGAAAGGAGTTCAGTAAAGCAGAAGAACGAAGGCCAGGGCCCTTATGCTTAATTTGTAATGAATAATGGGCCGCTGCCACTTCAGTGAAATCTGAGGAGCCAAGGGAAGAAGAAAGAAAGGATAATGCAGCCAATCATGCAGCCAGATCAAGGTTTGCATGACCTATTGAGACAGCTAGCACGACAAGCTTTTGGTGAAGCGTATGAGGTAGATGCCCTCCCTTCTTTTCTGTTTGACCTTTCCGGCCATAACATAATACTGCCCCACATATATTTCCCAAGACACCTGTGCTTTTATCAAGGTCTCCCAAGTAAGATCTCGGATGAAATATCATGAAATACACAGCCACCTGTGAGTGAACCCTGATACTTTCAGTAAAGTATCTTGGCAGAAAAAACCAAAGGGGCTTGCGTTTCGCCAACTTGCTTTTGCCCACTCCTGTGCCAGGAAGTGATTTACATTGAGTATAGTACATAAAGCAAGAGCAATTCCATCTCCACATAATTTCGCAGTCTGTTATTTGTCAGACTTCTGGAAAAATGGCAAGTTACTTTACACACATAATTCTCCAAATCAATACATTTCCTCTGAACAGTTGTAAAATTGCACACCGATTACTATCCAACCATTCACCATTCCTGCAAGTACTTATTTTCCTCTTCAATTTATCTGGCAATCATGAAGCAAATCTTTCAAAATGTTTCAGGATTCGACAAAAAGGAAGCAGCTTAGTCAATGTCAGCATACTGAAATCTCACCGTCAACCATCACCTGTCCTTAAAGTCAGGTCACAGCTGCTGTTTCCGAGCTCTTGGTAATCTACTAATACAAAAGCATGCACATGGAGCACTTAGGCTCAACAGAAGGATGGGGTGTATTATTAGACCACGCTGGCGAGACCTGTAATCAAGTTACAGGGCCTTCAATTCCCTAACCTCTCCTTGTCACTCTATACAACGGTTTCAAAGTTGCCTGACATACTCTAGCGTGTTCTACAGCAAGGTTACCATCCGCAGGTCAGCAGAAGGGTTTCAGGCAAGGGCACAAACTGTGGTGATGGCTGTCAGTTGTAGAAATACATATTGTCAGTCTATGTAACAGGAAAGATGTACCGTGGGAAATTAGAGTATGGTAGGTGCAGCACGGCCGTCTCCTTGGGGCCACCAGAGGTGACTTGCATGAGGATCCCATTTGGGTATTCATGAGTCTGCAAGACATAAAGCGCGTTCATCTCACATGTACATTTTTGAGCAGGGCGGCGTGTTCAGGCGCTGTCGGGGCAGCCCGAGGGACCTTTGGTGGCTGCCTGACACCTCAGCAGCAATATGCTTCACTATGATTCTTATTTTTACCTTCACCTTCTGCTTCCAAAGCGTCTTTGAAAGCACAGCTCGGTGGAGAACGTCACCAGGTGGGAGGGAACGGTCTTCGGCCATTGTCGCAGGGCCCAAACCGTGGTCGCTTTTCTTATGCAAAGGAATTCTTTTCAGCCATCACCACAGAGAACACTAGAGGGGGGATGTTAGGGTTAGTGGTAGACAGAGCAGCGAACGCGGTTATCCAGGCAGCACAGGCTTAAGGCGAAGAAAAAGAAAGGTTTTTATAAAAATCCACACAACATCTCCACTAATCCAGTTTTCACAAACAGTGTCCACTATCAAAGGATTGCAGCCCAGGGGCTTTTCTCTGTGGTCATTTACCCAGAGGCAAAGAAATCCCCTGATATACAGAAACCCAATAAGCTTAAGGGACTTTCAAATTCCCATCTCAACCACACACCCTTCTTATTTTTCCCTTCCTTCCATCTGATAAGTCTCAAATGCAGTGGCGCAATCTACAGGCCGTAACAATCCATAAAAATCCAATCCATTGTGGTGTACTTTTTATGTTAGGAGCAAACCTTGAAAAGAGAAGCTAAAAAGCTATCGGTTTACGTCAATGTATTGTCGATGGCGACGTGAAAGTGTTCTGTTTGAAGGACATTGGCCAATTGCAGCTGGCTGCATCGCTGTCTGACTCAATCTCAGCCTTGGCACTATCATCTCAGAATTAAATAAACGCTGCCTAACAGCATATTATGGCACAGTCAATAACTCATTCTCAACAAGCCCACGTACCTTTCCTGCCGTCATGACGTATTCAGATGTCATATGCTGTCAGTAATAAAAGAATTTGCTCTTATTGACTTCTTTTTCCTTTTCTTTCTTTCCCTGCCAGGAAGTTCAGCATGTGAGAAGGAGTGGGTGTCTGCACATCGGGCACAGGTTCGTGAAACGAGAGCCAGGGAGGCGGAGTGCTACAGCAGCACAGGAGATTCTGCTTTCGAGCCACGAGGCTGGATACTTTATTCATGCTCCTGCCGGGAGTGAGACTACAGGATCCGGGGCTGACTTTGGAGCCTGACTTCAGAACCGAACCGCCCTGGATCTCGCCCTGCTTCGGGAGAGACGGGAGCAGTTCATTTCTCAAAGAGGACTCTCTGATACGCACAAAAGGGTTTGATTAGGAATCGCAACTTTTTTTATTTCCTTTATTTTTGTTTTAGCCCTTTTTTTGTGATTAAATTCACTGAAATCGCATGCCTGCACAGGAGAAGGCTGCCTGAGGTCTGTATGGAAGCGGAGCTGCTTGCTTTATAGGTTTATCTACCATGGCAAAGCCTTTGATTGCATGAACTGTGGACGCTGCAATACAAGACAGGTCAGCGGTACAAACAAGGATCAGTTCAACAGATACCAGCCTGGTCAGGCTATAACCAAAGAGACCCCTTTGACAAGACGGACAAACATCTCCTGAAAGAACAGAAAAGAAAGCTTAAAGCCTCATTGGATTTTGGGTGGCAGCAGAGGATTAACTGGCATTTCTAAATCAGGTATGACAAATATGGATGATCTTGCTGTGGTTATAAGTGCCATTTTTTGTAATATCATATATATGCATAGATAGAAGTAATGAGAAAAATGTGAACTTAAAATAAATAGATCATTAAAGAATGTCTTACATAGGCTTCAATAGCCTATGGAAGTAAAGCATAAAATTATATATTATGTAATCAAAAATTACAATTAAAACTGAATTATTATATATGAAATACATTTTATATATGTAATATTATATAAATATATAAATGTATATATATATTATAACATTATGTCTAAACAATAGTATATTATGCACACAGAAACCTAAGAAAAATTAGTCTATATATATATAGCAATAGAATATATATATAGCAATAATACATATCAACTGCCATGTCACAACAAATGGAAAGGGTGGGTTTGTAAGTGATACAGTTTTGGCAGGCATAATTCAGAACGCTTCTCATTTGCTTTCAAGTTGCAAGCCTCCAAACTTTTGTAAATTATAATACCCTAAAATCATGCACAAAGACAGGGCAAAAAGACAAGTCAGTTTTACAATATTCAATCAACAAGGCCTGACTGTGTTCTGCCACCAGTTTCAGCAACGAAAAGCAGCCTTGAAATGCACTGGCTAACAGCAGAAATGTGTAAAACAACAAGAGCCTGCGATTACATTACACACAGAAAAAGATAAAACCTCTCACACACAGGCATCTCATTCAAGGAAAGCTAGTGGGTTTAAGGATTTGTTATCTACATCCACGGCTGATTGGGAATATCCTTCCACTTCAATTAAACTTGCTTCTGAACCTCTCAGTCCTCCCTTTTTCTCTTATTTTTTTTCTCTTCTCTAATCCCTTTTTCCTTTTTTCACTACTTTCTATTGTTTTGATATAAAAATGATTTCAAACAAGATAAACACCCCAGGCATGTTTCGCTACCATAGTTTTTTCATTTGTTCATGTCATTGGAAATGTTAATAGCCTCTTTTCATTAATTCAGCAGCAGAAATATTGTATTCTTTGTCTTAAATTTAATCATTTACAATGAAAGAGGCGCTGCAGGCACCGTACATAAAACAGCAATTAGAGCAGGACACTGCCTTTTCTTCAGATGGCATAAATTTGACTTTTTCCCTTCTTTTTTCTCCAAGGGCAACGACCGCAAGGAGGACATTAGCGATGGCAAGCAATTACAAGTCCTTCTTCGTCTTCTTCATCAGAGCTGGGCTTCTGCTTGGCCTGGCCAATCCGTTGGTGACCTCAGCCTCCTGTCCCTCGCAGTGCCGGTGCGATGGGACTTTCATATACTGCAATGACCGGGATTTGACTTCCATCCCTTCGGGCATCCCAGAGGATGCTACAGTACTTTTTCTCCAGAACAACCGCATCAAAAGCGCAGGGATCCCTACGGATCTACGACGGCTGAACAGTGTAGAAAAGATCTACCTATACTGCAACAATCTGGATGAGTTCCCCACCAACTTGCCGCTGAATGTCAAGGAACTTCATTTGCAGGAGAACAATATCCGGACTATCACCCACGCGTCCCTGGCACAGATTCCTATCATTGAGGAATTACACCTCGATGACAATTCCGTGTCAGCTGTCAGCATCGAAGAGGGTGCGTTCCGGGACAGCAACCATTTGAGGCTGCTTTTCCTGTCCCGCAACCACCTCAGCACCATACCTTCCGGCCTGCCAATGACTATCGAGGAGCTTCGCTTCGACGACAACCGCATCTCGTCCATCTCTGAGGCATCCCTGCAGGATCTTATAAACCTGAAGCGACTGGTTCTGGATGGCAACCTCCTGAACAACAGGGGCATTGGGGAGATGGCCTTGGTGAATTTAGTCAACCTGACCGAGCTCTCGTTGGTACGGAACTCCCTGACTTCCCCACCCGCCAACCTGCCGGGCTCAAGCCTGGAGAAGCTAAATCTTCAAGACAACCACATCAATCACGTGCCAGCAGGTGCCTTTGCTTTTCTGCGACAGCTGTACCGTTTGGATCTGTCAGGCAACAACTTGAGCAGTCTGCCCATGGGGGTATTTGACGACCTGGATAACCTTACCCAGCTGCTCCTGCGCAACAACCCCTGGAACTGCAACTGCAGGATGAAGTGGGTGCGTGACTGGCTGCGCAGTATTCCATCTAAGGTCAACGTGCGTGGCTTCATGTGCCAAGGTCCCGATAAGGTCAAAGGGATGGCCATCAAAGACCTATCCACAGAGCTGTTTGGCTGCTCAGACACGGAGATCCCAACCACATATGAGACCAGCACCGTCTCAAACACTTTGCCACCCTCTCGACCCCAGTGGCCCTCATATGTCACTAAAAGACCTGTGGTTAAGGGTCCAGAGCTGGGAAGAAACTATCGTAGCACGACGCCGTCCAGTCGCAAGATCATCACGATAAGCGTCAAATCCAGCAGCGCAGAGACGGTGCACATATCCTGGAGAGTATCCCAGCCCATGACGGCCCTGAGGCTCAGTTGGCTAAAGCTGGGCCACAGTCCTGCTTTCGGATCTATAACCGAGACCATCGTCCAAGGGGAGAGAACAGAGTATCTGCTCACAGCTCTGGAGCCCGAATCCTCTTATCGGATATGCATGGTTCCCATGGAGACGAGTAACATTTACCTGTCAGACGAGACACCTGTTTGCATAGAGACAGAAACTGGTTCCCTGAAAGCGTACAATCCCACCACAACCTTGAACAGAGAGCAGGAGAAAGAGCCTTACAAAAATTCCAATCTGCCTTTAGCTGCTATCATTGGAGGGGCGGTGGCCCTTCTGGCTATCATCATGTTGGCCCTGGTGTGCTGGTACGTCCACAGGAACGGTTCCTTATTTTCCAGGAACTGCACGTACAACAAAGGGCGCAGGCGGAAGGACGATTACGCCGAAGCTGGAACAAAGAAGGACAACTCCATCTTGGAGATTAGAGAGACCTCTTTTCAAATGATTCCCATAAATCACATGCCCGTTTCAAAGGAGGAGTTTGTGATACACACAATTTTTCCTCCTAATGGCTTAAGTCTTTACAAGAGCCCGCACAGTGAAAACAGTATCAACAACAGAAGCTACAGAGACAGTGGAATACCAGATTCAGACTACTCTCATTCATGATAGTGTGCGCGGACTACAAAGATGTTTTATTGCAAATGAGTGACTCGGAGACTGCTTGGTCTTTTGAAAAACACTGGATTGAAAAGACTGAGAAAGCATCGTTATGTACATTTGCCATATAATTTATATTTAAGGACGATTTATTAAAAGGAAAAAAGGTTCCGATTGCAGGCCATCACTGAGCTGTCGGTGGATGCTGCCACAAACTGCAATTCTATATTTTAGATATTTGTAGTCATTTGTACTGTACTTCCTTTACTTATGGTTTTAGACCAATTAAAAAAAACTTTGTGCTCTACTGAGATATGATGACTTGTCAACTGTGAAAGTGGGTTTTCATTGCTGTGTTGAACAATCAGATTTTAGAAAACCATGTAGTATAAAGCACAGGTCAAAATTATCACTACGTTGCTGTCAGTGGAAAAAATAAATACAACAAAAAACAAGGCTGTGAGAATATAGGGCATAGGTGACTGATCAAAGGAAATAAAGACACAAGTGTTCTGTTAATTCCAAGGATGGCAGGCACAGACTTACTCCGGTGTCACAGAAAACTCCGGTTTTGTTTAGGAATCCTGGTTGCCCATTCCAGAATGTTGCCAGGCTTTACATCACTGCAACATTTAGGAAGCAGATATCCATTACCTCCTCTCTGCCCTGGAGGAGGTAGCAACACAGCACAGAATCCTAAATTCTTTGCAAATGAAGCACACAGATCAAATGAAAGGTTACTTCGCAGTCAAATCAAAGTGGACGGGCAAAAACACAACACAGAACTCAATATTACTCATTCAGTAAAGGAAAACAGCATTTACTGTATCCCTCAGTACAGTTAACCATGTCATGTAAACGTTGCCCTCCAAAAAGGAATACGTTGTGGGCAGAAAACATATGGTAAGAAACACATTTGGGCTCTTTTCTATTTGGAATATAAAAAAAAAAGAAGTGTCAACTATTTTTTTGTTCATATAATTCTTATTTGTAATTTTTTTTTTTTTATTCAAGCCACTTTTAAGTTGCCACAGTTAAATTGTTCTTTACAACTGAAGACCAAAGTGCATTGAATGCCCTTTGGCCAGTCTTGTATGTGCCTTGATCCAATGCTTATTGTATTTAGCTTTTTCAAAAAAATAAATCAGTGACTTAACTTTTTTCATACACACTTGAATATGATAGGATATTGGTCATATTGCAAAATAAAGGTGGATAAAACCCCGACTTGATGGTCTCCTTTTCCCCAAAAGAATGCTTTCTATTTATGTTTAATCCCTCTAAGCTTTACATATACCATTCTGGGTTTCAAAAGTGTTCATCTAAAGCATCCCAGTATGCTTCTTCCTAGTGCAGCATCCGCTTGGGGTTCCAAGTGCTCTTTTGTGTGGTTAAGCCATGTATGACTTATCTGATTGGCCCAAGTGGGAAATATCAGAGAGTATGGCACAGAAGCTAAATGAGGCCATTGGAGAGATACTGTGCTGGATTTTGATGTGTCCCGCAGCCACAGGGGGCGATGTACGTATATAATGACTATACAGCATTAGTTTGATGGCACAGCCCAAATCACAGAATCGCACAGGTGGCTCGCATGAGCACATGGGTACGTGTCTACACAACATATATGTGCTTATGTGGGCCATGAGTCTGCGAATGAGCACATATGCATACACATAAATGTACACACCCTGAGATTTAATTACAGTTCAGGGGAGCCTCAAAAAACAGCAAGTCTGATCCAAACCTTAAGTATAATTCAACAGTCCTGTGTACTAAATATACCACATCAGCTAGAAATTAAAGTAAACACCCTCTGTGAGAATACAGTTCAGCAAGGGTCCACATATGTGAATGCTGTTGATGTTCCACAACTTGCCTTGTCATTTATTTATGTGGTTTCCTGACTGACGGTATTAGCGAGTTTTAAATGCTGAGTGCTAAGTTTCACTCACCTCCTTTCAAATCTGAATCCTTTTTCTTATTTTTTAAATTAGCCTTTATGTTTTAAAATTTTCTGATGAAAGATGCATTTGTACTATTGATTTTACCTCTGAAAAGAATCTAAAACGCAGACATATGAAAGTAAACTGTGTTCGGTGTTTTAAAAAAAGACATTTAAACTTTAATTACCAAAATACAATATTACAGTATATCTAATCCAATGACTCAGAATTACAAAATCATTCATTATTTCTTCTCTCTCCTTTAAATCCTCAAAAAAAAATT